GATCAAATGACTCCAGCATTCCCGACCGATGTAGCTTGGATATGCGTTTCTCGTTTATATGGCCTAACCTACAATGCCATAGGTATGTTTGGTTCAAACCGTTCGGTTTGTTCCTCTTGGCTGATATGTTATAGACAGGCATGTCCAAGTCAAGGACATATAACCCATTGGTCATGTTGGCATTAGCATAGAAAACATTTTTTCTGTAAACGGAAAGGGACTTGTCTTTAATAGAAATGATGAAACCATTCTTATCAAGACATGAAACAGAAATAATGTTTCTGCTAATTGCAGGAACGTACAAGCAATCGTTTAATTCCAACATTAGACCACTAGGCAAGACTAAACTATAAGCTCCGATTGCCAAAGCTGCAACAGGTGCACCATTGCCGACTCGGAGTTCAATCTCGCCTCGAGCTAATCGTCTACTCTGCTTCAGTCCCTGCATGGTAGTACAGATATGAGACCCACATCCAGTATCTAGTACCCATGATGAAGATATAGACATGTTAACTTCTATAACATACACCTCAGAAGAAATGGTCGTACCTTCCTTCTTCTTGGCTGCGAGGTATGTCTTGCAGTTTCTTCTCCAGTGGCCTGCCTTACCACAATGATGACATTTGCCCTTTGCAACTCCTTCTATGGGTTTCTGGGTTGCAGATGAAGTGGACTTCGATTTAGGCTTTCCGACCGTCCTAGCCTTAATCTTAATCCCCTTCTTCGGCTTCCCCTTTCTGCCTTGGACCATAAGGACGGAAGAACCCTTGCCCTTAGTAAGGTTCTCCTCTGCAGTCTGGAGCATTTTAAGAAGCTCCGGAAGGGGTTTGTCAAGATCATGCATCATGTAGTTCATGACAAAACCCTTATACAGCTCAGGGAGCGACTGCAGGATCAGGTCCGTTGCCAACTCCTTCTGCAAGGAGAACCTGAGTTTCTCCAGATTGGTTATGTAACCAATCATTTTGAGAACGTGCGGACCGACCGGGTTCCCTGAAGAGAGCTTGCAACTAAAGAGAGCCTTACTCACGAGAAAACGTTCATGCCTGGATTGCCCCTGGTATAGCTGCCGCAAGGCCACGATCATCTCGTGGGCCTTCATGTCCTCGTGCTGTTTTTGCAGCTCGG